AATTGTGTTTTTTAGGTTCCTTTTAGTTAAGCTATAAGCATGCTATCCGATTCACCGATGATCTATATGTTTATGATGCCATCAGATTTTCTCTCCGGATCTATGGAGATGACTTTTCACTCGATAGATTTCATATTAATCGAAAAAAGTACTTTGCGGCTTGCTCTCGCTAAAGCGATTCTATATTTTGCCTTATAGGGTGATTTATTCTTTCAACTCGCGTGTGTACGTATACGCGTCCCGACTGGAAATTAGCATAAACGTGTAAATCAAGCGGGGTGTGATGCCGCGCGCCACCACTGTATATACGAATGGTAGGAGAGGAAATGCGCCGAATGCAATAGCCGCTGCTGCGAACGAAAGTGCTTGTCTCGCGGATTTTTCGCAGACGAAAGTCGTAAAAACTGCGTGGGTGCGCTCCGAAAGAGAGGCTCAATACAAAGAATTATGAGCTATTGCGACATTTTTGTTTGCGAGTATCGCCGTGTACCACTTGCGTGCTTACATACATCTACATCGAGTGCTATTGGCCGTTTTTTGCTAACGCGAGCTTACCGATGATTTATCATTTGTAATTTAGTTTGCTGCACTATACGCGAATCTCTCATTGCGTATTGCTTTACGGAGATGAAATGGCTCTGCAGTAAAAGGCATTAAACATCTAATATTCTTTTTCTTAAACTTGCCGTATTTTGTTGCATTCACATTAATTCAATTATTTCTGTTCTCATTGACTGAGGGTAATACGTCGCTAGGATTATGACTGTTTCACCGTCAATAAAATCAGTACCAAAGATTTTAAGGAAATCAGAATTCTCCTCAATTCCCTCACTTGCATAATGAACATTGTCACGAGGTAAATTAAGATTTTTGCAAAAAAAATTTAAGTTACTATTTTCATCTTTGCAATGCTTCACCATCTATCATAAGATAGATAGATACTCGTTCGACGTCATAGTTGTGAACTGCAAATGACTTTTTTTTGCCTTTGCTGCTTTTCGATTCCCCATCAACGCCAAAGCACGTATATATCTAGACGTAAAAAAGAAATGCAATGCAACGAGGCCGACATAAGATCGAAAAACGGAGAGAAAGGAAGTAGGCTAACGTAGCCAAGAGCTGTACGAGTAACTCGGGGTCTCGCCGCCTCTGACGATGAAGATACGATCGTCAATTTTTTCCTATCTCCCAGCTCGATTCGCTCTTTTTTTTTCGTCGTGCGGCGACGCGAGAATTCGCACGAAAGCGCGCGTTTTTATGCCCAGTTATATGCGTTTTACTATATACATTTCATATATATACGCGTGGGTGCGATAAACAGGTCAATCGATCAGAGCCCCGTTATACATAGTATAAGAGATGTACCTTGGTGAAACCCAAAAAGGCTTCCAAGTTCGGCTATATAAGTATGATAAAGCACAAGTGGTAAGGAGCTTTTTGGCTTGACGACTCTACGATATCTCATGAATTTTCTGCAAGCTCAAGCCGAAGATAGAAAGAGATGTGGCCGTTACTCGGCTCGCTTCGGAAATTGATACTTATAGTTGCCTATTTACTGCTACATTAAGAAGCCTTCAGGCGTAGTTACACGACGAAATGATTTTCGTAACTCATGTGTAGCTAACGTAAAGTTTCTTACTCGGCTCGGATGGGCCATATATATATATACATATATAACTTTATCGTCATCGCGATCGTCTTTGATGGTTCTTCTTGTTGTTGATCGCTTTCTATATTTATGCGAGCAGATATATAAAACGATCCGGCGTAAAAGCCGAGCGGATAATCATCCGTTTCCTCGAGCCCAAGTTTCAGCGTGTATTTATTAAATTTTCAAGCTTGGCAAAGTGCGTAAAAATATTCTTATTTTTTTAATATTCCCGGTAAATCAACAAAAGCATATACAAAAATGCGTGAAAGCGTCTCGTCGTAGAGCGTAACGTCGATTACGAGCAATTTGTAACGCAGCAGAAGCTGCAACAGGAGAAACAGAAATAGCAGTGGAGGCATTGATGGCTATATATGTGCAAACATACATCTGCAGATACTCGCAATGCAAAGTGTTGTACTACAAGTACAATTACAAGCCTATTCACACACAGAGAAGCCTCTCATGGTAATATAGACAAATATACACACGTAAATACTCGGATAAACGCAACGCTTGGGCACATTGTAGATTCGAGCAGTTATCTAGCTGCGATAGTTGTTATAATAGATGTTACTGAAATATCTATTGTGTGTGCGTATACGTATATACAATAGCTGGAGCGAACGCGACTCGCATACCACGACACTTTGGCTTTGTTATTATTGCCAGGGCTGCTGCTGCTGCTGCTGTATGCATGCAGCGCTATTGCTGCAGCGCTTACGTATATACTGCAAGCTTTCAGTCAGTCAGCCCTTATAACTCGCGCATACCGAGCAGCGGTTCGCGTCAAAAGTACTAGCATACGTCTATGTGTGCGTGTATACGTGTGCACACATAAACGATAATGCGCCGCAATTTCGTCTCTGCGCGAGCGAGCGAGCGAGCGTGAATAAACCATCATCAGCCGCTCGCGAAAAAGAGAATTATTGCGCGTAATTTCGACTGCCTTATCGACACAATGCCGCGTTAATTAGGATCTAACTTTGTGCGTGAACGCGCTCCTCTTAGCCACCAATACTAATTTGCCCGAACTCATCTATAGGTTTATGATATCGCTAAGCGATTAATCATTCATCCAGGTGTCGCTGCTGTCTTGGGCCTTTCCTCTTTTAGCGCAATATTTTTTCCTCCGTGTGCGCTGAAAACAGGGTTTACTTTTCGCGATCCGTTCGCAAGTAAAAAGACGTAAAAGCTCCGATCAAATTAAATTCCTCCTTCTGCATATACATTTTACGGGATATACATAGATATACGACATGGCGTGCAATTACCATCGGACATTTTTGCTAATGAACTGTAAAATGGCTAATTGTAATTATCCACTTTCCAGGACTCGCAGGATCGAAACGAGTGGAAATAGTATAAGCATTATTGCGACGACGGTGCACTACGCTCTAAGAATCACGAACAATTTTCCGTTTTCTCTGCACGTTATTACGTATTCTTGATCTTTATTACAGTGTTCTTGGGTTCTTGAGTTCACACACATGCAATTTTGTAAGCAACTTTGCAGCAATTTATATTTTACATTTATTCAAATAAATATTTTTGTTATATCAATTTGGTAAAATTGATAATATTAATATACGTGAATTATATAATAGAACATTTTTCAATAATAACTGCTGATTTGAATTGTGCCACAGAAAAATAGTTAATTGCACGCACGATAGATCGAGTATGAAAAAACAATTACTTCAAGAACTCGCAAGTAATTAAGTGTGTCCATTCACAAGATGTGAATGATGATTGAGTGATTGACAAGGATGATAAAATATCGTCGACTTTATGAATTTTCTCTTCTATATTGGCGCAAGAGTCAGTTTGCTCGATAATATCGCTGTTTGTCACTGAGTCACGCAAATCTGTTTATAAATGTAATGTTCGTGGATATAAAAATAGCTTGATGTAAAATTACTCATTGGCAGATGCACGATGTGCAAATACGTATGCAATAATTCTGACGAATTTTCAGTTGAATGGTTTTTGGTTCAAAGTAAATTATGAAAGTCGAATTATCAAAAATTTACTTAATAATCGCAAGACAGCAATTTTTTACCTATTCCAGTTTGATTATCTTGTCTTTTATTTTTCACATCTATAATGTTTTCTTTATTCTTTTTCTTCGACTATATACACTGAAAAAAAAAATAATAGCGCGGTAAGTTTTCAAATATATGAGTAAAATTATTTACATACCATCGAGTTTAAACAATACAAAGCTTGAGCGCTATTGAAAACTTGAAAAACACATACATTTACTACCCCCATAAAGCTTGTACTGGGACACGTACCGGGGAATAATAACAGTAAGTTATTGCATTGGCTCGTTACATCGACATTATAAACGTACTAGATTTACGCACATGGGTGGCTGACAATATCAGCGTTACTCCTCGTGAAATATATGGTCATCCAAATCCCATCTCTGCATTGAAATCTCGTTGAAGAGCGACTTTTTGACTTTCCACATCTTGTTTATGCAAATGCAGGTACAATGATCATTATACTTTACTGAAAATACATGTTTGTCTCGCAGGATCATAGGAGAGTAAACGACGAGTCGAGGCACGAAAAAGGCTAATGCTCAAGACAAATGTAATAATAAGCCTCGGCAATGAGCTATCGAGCCACCGATCATCGATTTCAAACTCATCATCTTTATTAGCCTGCGCACGCGTAAACATCGCACGTGTGTGTTATGAGAAAATTGCGTGCTTCGAGGCTCACACGTAACGTGATTTAAAGTGAAACGAACGAGATCGAGCAATGCCGAGTAGGCCTAATTATCAGAATGCGAGCTCCCGAGTGTCATTCTGTAAATAATATTTGCAAATTGCGAACTTGCAGATAAATGCAGGGTGCAGAACTCGTGGAAATTGATGAATATCGTCGTGGAATCGAGATTCTCTCCTTGAAAGTACGATGCAGGGAATATGCAAGAGCATTCAATCATCGTCATCTCCGGTAAAGGGTAATTGCGCATGGATCGAATCTTTTCTCGGGAGCAGAAGTAGGATTTGCCGGGGGTACGGTGCAAAAATTATGTCAGTGCGCATTCGCGGATTATCGGCTCGTATACACGCGAGATCATAGAGTAGAAATTTGCATCTACGATAATATATCTATTATTAAATCGCTATACATAACGAGGGGCCTTTCGTAAAGTCGACTTGTCGGAGGAGCTACGAGAGGATACATACGAAGCCGACGCGCGCGCGGTAATAATCTCTCCCCCAATATAATGCGCGAGGATGATTGCAGCGCAAGGCGCATCTCAACTTGTCGCGCTTATATATAAGCCACTGGCTGCAAACGACTTTGCCTGAGTTGCCAATTGTCCGTAGCGCAATTCTCAATCTGCGAAGCCAACTCTAGCCGCTGCGCAGTACATAACAATATAGCTCATACACGATTCAGATATGAATTGGCTCCAGGTGAGAGAGGCTATTCAGTGGCTACTTATTGTCTTTCGGTGCGAGTATCGAGGTGCGCTCCCGAGCAAGCCTCATTTCCACTCGACAAAGCTACCATTTAGTGCTTAAACTCATTCGCGCTACAGTGCATATCCGAAACGAACCGCGCGCGCTATTGTGCAAACAACGACTATTGTGCTCGACATTTTTTCTCTATCAAATATGCCTTATATATTTCCCATCGCAGGTGAAGACGTGTTTAATCGCATCTTTGATAGTCCTGTCGGATTACGGCATTTTTGGGGCTCAATTGCCTGGCGACAACGGCTATATCTACGACAAGCCCGCAATCCTCCCCGGCAATGATTTCGGCCGTCGCATCAACCCGGACTATCCAGATGCCTTGGCTGGCAACAACAATTACGGACGAGCTGGATTTTCTCGAGGCACGAGTATTAATAACGGCTTTGCTTACCCAACGGGTCAGCAATCGCCTTATCAAGAGTATCCGGACTATCGAGGAAACTATCAAGGAAATTATCGGGGCTATCAGGCTTATAGAGACGATGGGAGGTTTGGCGCCTATCGAGGTTACAACACTAACGAGGGCACAAGGGTTCGTTATATTTTCTCTTTCATTTTTCATTTTTATCGGCTGAAAATTAAAACTGACGTCAATTCTCTTTTTCCATGGGCATGAAAGAGATTAGTCCTCCTCGTAGCTTCGAGTAGTTTTTATTGACAGTTTTAAATTGTTTGTTTGTTATCAAAAATTAGCCGTTGTCGATTAATTTAGAAACTCTTTTTGGGTAATTTTTTAGTTGTCTCGACGTTGCAATTCTATTATTGTGTCATTTATTAAAAACTTTTTTTTTAAATTGAAATAAAAACATTTTCGAGAAAATCTCGTTAACGAAGATCATTTCAAACAGCTTACCCCTAGAATAGACATCGTGCAACGTCTGAACTCAATTAGTTCAATAAATCACTGCGAAATTCAAATTTTCCTACGCCTGCCTCTTCTCGATCCATGGTAATTTTAATCTTGCTAGTAATAAAAGTTATCTAATTTCAAAGAGTTCACGCACTTTTCTGAGTTTTTTCGATGTTCGTTTTTTTCATAATTATTTTAAAAAATGTAACAGAGGGTAAGGAGGTACTGTTATCTTCATCAAGTCTAATTTGGTGTATGAGATACTCCGACGTTGCCATGGGTTGCGGTTTTCAATATATTTATACATGGCAGATGCTATACGTGTAGTCTCGCACTCGGCTGGGCAGGAATGAAGTAGCGCTCTAATAATGTTATAAGCAAACTTTGAATTAGTCTAAAATGCTTGCATCATTATACAAAAATTTCTCCGGCAATGCCGTCATTATCATCTTATCGTGTTCTTGAACTTTGTGTATACAAGCTAACCGCAATTTCAAATTCTGCGCAGCTCTTGCCGCCCGCAGACACATTTTAACCCGTCTAATTTTTCCCTCTTTCTCTTTCTCTCTGTATCTCGGTGGCTTTCGTTGCCTCTAAAATCGAGCCGAGCATCTTAGAAGTCTCTGTGTGACGGTAATAAACTTAGTCGAAAAACTGAGGCATGCTATAGAGCTCGTGCACAAGAAATAGAGAGAGAGAGAGAGAGAGACCATTAAAGCCAACAGCTTTGCGTGAACTCCACTCGAAAGTGCTCCTCCCTCACATCGTCGTCTATATTATATATAGCGCATAGGAGAATTTTCTCGGATGGATGAAGTCGAGCTGATGGGCGGGGGGTAGGGTTGAAAGGGAAGCTCGACTAATTGCATACTTGCCTAAAGATTAACAACTTCCGCGTCCGTTACTGTACGTATAGCTCGCGCACACTAGCCGTAGACTCCTTTTTACGAGCTTCGCTTTGCTCCTTTTTGGGACAGTGTATGTACTGCTGCTGCTGCTGCTGCTGCTGCTGCTGCTGCTGCTTCTGTGCTCGGGCTCGGCTTTTTCGCGAAATTAGCCCTTCCTAAACGTCGCCACCGGACAACCCATACATCCTACGACGTCCAACGATCTAATCTGATCATCCGAGTTCCACTTTGTGGCGCGCGTGTTGTTGGATTTTATGGCTTTCTTGCCAATATGACTGTATCTTTTTCAGCCTCTTGAACCTACCTCATATACTCACGTTTGTTATCGCGTTTAAGAGTCCCCTCGAACGAAAAATCAATTCATGTTATATATTTGTTTTTCAAAACTTCGTCAATTTTCATGCTGTCCTTATTCATAAACTTGAAGCTTCAAATATGCTGACAAACGTTTAGTGGGTCACTTTATGAGTAATTAGCTACTGGCATATTTTTGACATGTAATTATCTTACGGTTGAGGTATATAACTTTGCTCACGGCAAATATTCACCCAGCAGTGACTCAAAGTAAGGCTCAAACGTCAGCAGCGCTTCTCTGTAAAGTCATATCAGAAGAAGCTCTTGCGCGAGGTAGCGATTCCTGCGTACGGTACAACTTGAAAACTAATGCTTTGAAAGCAAATGACACTTGCGATATTTCGATAGTATATCGGGGCTATATTACTCACAGTCAACAGTGCGTTAAAAAGTGGGGCTTTTTAGCATACCCTGATGGACGTCAGAGTAGGAGTTTAACCTCATTTTAATATAAGGGATAACAAAGAATTTTATAATAAGGCTTATCGAAATTTCTCGACTCGAGCATTAATTTACTAATAGGAAAATGTAATAAAGCATTATAATTAGGTCTTTGCGTGAGCTTTGAGCTATGAAAATCGTTCGAATGATTTTATCTTCTGATTTTGTACCCTTTTAAAAGCTGCAGAGTCAAACGAAGCAAATTAGCCCAACTATATATACAACATATTCATTTTCTGCTTCATATTATAAAGCAAACAAGATGTATGCAATATCCGCAGCTCGACATACAGCAGCAATATTTATTTTAGTCGCAGCTTAAAGAACAAAATAAAATTTCACCGATGAATGCGTGGCTCAATCTGTGCAGTATTGACACAGGGTCAACCTCATTCGATTGCTCGGCCAAAGTATCTCGTCAGCTGATTTACTTTTGTCGTGTGACGGGGTATTATATGGAAAAAAAAAAAAATAATAAAAACGTAATTTGTCCTCTGCTTATTATGTGCGTTCCCGTGACTGTGTATAATGCAGCGCTTCGAATTGAAAGCTAATCAAACAGTTAAAATTGCCTGTGTTGCGTAGTTGAGCGAGAGCTTATACATAAGGGACTCGAGAGAGACAATAAGTCTCGCGAGATAATTGCGCTCTCGTATCTCATTGTTCGAGATCGCCCAGTCGATCGAGCAGACTGACCGACCAGAGTGCCGTGGCATTATATTATGACGCGGCTGTGTAGAATTAATTATCCTCGCTGGCCAACGCCTACTCTTGAACTTTTTGCCTGCAGTGCCATACCGCAGTCTTGAGTCTCTCTTTCATTGAAACAAATTGAACGAAAGCATAAAGGCTTGCTTCAATTATTAACGCTCCACGTGAGGTTGGTCGTTGCGCCCGAAATGAAGCTTGCATAATTTTTTGTTGCATATATCGCGCAGCCGATGCCCTACAGTTTCCAGTACGAGGTGAAAGATGGAGCGTCGGGCAACGACTACGGCCAGCAGGAATCCGGCGACGGCAACGGCAACGTCAGGGGCGAGTACAGAGTCCTATTGCCCGATTCACGCACGCAGATCGTCCGTTACACGGCCGACGACGCTAATGGCTACGTCGCCGATGTCAGATACGAGGGCCAGGCTCAATTTTTCCCCAATCAGTACAGCAACGGCGGCAGATTCCTTGGAGATTTTGGCTCTGCTTATCGGCAAGGTAAGACTCAACTTTTTGGAAATTTAAAACGCTCCGAAACTATGAGACAAGAAAATTTTTACCTTGCGCCACCACGCTGTATTATGCACGTATCTTTTTTTGCTTTTTTCTGCCTCGTAAAGAATGAGTACCATTGACACACATCGTGCTCGGAAGAGGGTACTCGAGCTATCAAAAAGTCAAATGTCAACGTATACCGCAGCAAAAAAGAGTAAGGAAAAAATGTTTGGGCATACATGTAAACACGTACACGTCCTGACGTCTACTTGGGGAGGGCGGCTACGCGATAAATATTCAGTTTTGCACGGAACATTGCCGACCAGCAGGCACAGCTGCCAACGCTACGCGCGCTATCATTTGTATATAAAGCCGGCACTGCCTGCAGTACCAAATTCAAAGTGTAAAATAGTATATGTAGCGTACTTGCTTTGACGATACGTCGAGTTCAAAGCCGCGTCGCGTTTGATATCATCACGTCTGGCATAATTGCATGTCTTATCTCAATGTGTCTCGGCTGAGCTCGGTGGCGGTGCTGGCGGAGGCGGCTTCTTCAAATTCTTCTTTCATTCAAGTCGATGATGCAGACGAGACTAAGCTGCCGAGCTGGTGTCATCGTACGCGAAAAAAAAATAACGAGAAATAATGAAAAACACGAGGTTATCGCTGTTGACAGGTTTCAACGGGGCAGTAGCAGCATCTGGCACAGGAAACGTCAACAGAGTCGGCTTCCAGGCGGCTAATCAATACCTGCCTCCCGCTGGTACGTACGGCAAGTGATTGGTATAAGACACTCATTGGAGGCGCACGATGATCCTGACACAAGGACGTTGCCGCTCATACATACGGTATAGAGACACCAGTAGACAGAGAGATGGAGAGAGAGGATGAACAGAGAGAGAGAGAGAGTAACCCCATCGAGACTTCGTTTGCAGCCACGAATGTCAAGCCTTCCTCCCTTTCTGTTGCTGACCAGCTTTGCTTTGATGCAGTATTACGTGAGTGTGTGCAGCATCAGCTTCTATCTCTCTCTCTCTCTCCCACTCTCTCTTCATCTCTCTCCCACCCGAAGGAAATCCCAAGACAATACCACACAAGCTTTGCAGATGCAGCCACTACCATTTTAGCCACGAGCGCTGCAGTTGTATCAAACTACACGCGACCTGCCATGCATATTAGAGAACTCGTCTTCCTCTCGCCCCCCCCCCTCTCTCTCTCTCTCCTCTCTCTTTCTATCCTTGTTGCGCCACTGGAACATGCTGTCCTCTGCCTTTATGTGTCTATAACCAAATAAATTAGTAGTACAAGATTTAGTTCGATCGATACACGTCGCTGTGAAGAGTTTCGTGCGCTAAGATTATAAGTTTACGTAAAATACTGCAGTTATGTAACACATTACCTATCTGTATTCGATGTACTCTCAATTATATGCTTACATAATTTTAAAATTGATATAGATAATAAAATTCCAAGGAAGAAGACTCTTCATGAATGTTCACGATCTTTATTATTTCCTTCCAAATCTCTCTGATCCTTTTTATTTCTTATATGGATCGAAGGGATGCGTGTATGTTTACGCCGTTGAGATAGCAGAGGTACACCGAATCGATTCTTCCGATGGTTTACGACGTATCTACTGGATGCTGCTTATATAGGATGCCTCTGTATCGATTCTTTTTATGCGCAATTCTTTATACACTGTATAATAGCTGCGAGCGGCTCACGAGTGTTGGCACACGCGAGCTCTCGAAAACACGTCGGACTTATGCTCGCTTCCTCGGACCCGCGGCCTGCAAAAAGCCGAGGACGTCGCAGCATTTTTCGTTTCCTACCTCAGCCGGCTTCGTCCCCCGCGCGCCCGCCCCCCGAGGGACCGTGTTTCGTGCACTCCCTCAAGAGTAAGGAGCAAGGTGGAAAGCTCAATACGGCTGCTCGCACAAACACGTGCACGTACACCCGAAGCCATCGACGGCGAAGCTTCGAGCTTTTCTGGTCTGCGCAGGAAATCGGCCACTCGACGATCCCGAAGGGAATCTCACCAACCTCTCGCTCTACTTCTTTCTTTTATCCCTTGTACGGAGTACGTATATAAAGACTATACATAATACGGGCTGTCTGCAATGAACGCACTTAAGCCTATCTCCCGGCAAAATGCCCGAACGCGCCAGATTGCATTCGACTCGAGGAATGAAATGAACTCGGTGATAAAAAAAAATAATTTCTTTTACTCGGATTCATCGAGACCTTTCGTAGATGAGGTCGCTCGACAGTTGCTCGAGCTTCGCTCGCGATTCAAAAGTATAACCCACGAATAATTCAAGTATTTGTTCGGCTTCTTTTAAAAGCTCGCTCCTGAGAGGAAAAATATTAAAGTACTCATTAAACATCGATGCTGTAATTCATGTTAATAGCTTTATTGAAGAGAAAACATTTTAGAAGAATATTTAAGATGAAATAACAAGGTAACAAGCGACGAGCGCCTTGTAAAGAGAGTAAAGCGCGAGTATAAATAATATGTTGGCGAGTAAAGAAAAGCAAATATCAAAGAGAACCAAGTTGTAAGTAAAAGCTAACGTGCTGCCAGTGTGTACACACACACACACACTCTTGTATATAGCACGTTTGGAAACCGCAACAGGACGAAAAAAATGAAGAAAAAAACACAGCCCCTTGGTAAAAAAAAAGCATTATTCAATGATTTTTCTCGTCGACAAGAAAACCAGTTAAATTCGCAATACTCAGGTGAAAAGTTTACAACGAAAAAGCTGCGGAGTACATGTATCATGAAGCGTGTAAAATTTAACATTTCACTACCCAGAAGATCGTTGACACGAACGGAAAAGGGGCGTTTTTCTTCCAAGTGCATGTAACTTGTGTCTTGGCGCAATCGCTCGCGTAACGTCGCGCGGTATATGTATGTGTTTGCAGGCAGAGTCTGGTAACTATCATTCGGTCTACAAAAGAGCTCCACGGGCGCTTGACTTTTATATTTTTTTGTTACTTTTTTTTCATCCAGCCGCGACCTTTTTCTCCCCCCGGCCCCCGTCTGTATGCATGTATGCATGTCTCTGGAAGAGGTAAAAAAAGGACCGTGGTAGCGACGTATTCCCCGGAAGAAAAATAGATACGTTGACGGTATGTACGTATGGGTATAGAGTACATGAAACACACGCGAAAAGCGTCGTTCGCTCAATAGACAGAGAGGGAAAGGAAAGAGAGCAAGAGTTCGTGGAGGGGGCGTAAACATTCCATGATGGCCAGCCAAGCGTAAAGACAATTCGTTTCCCATTGTTTTTCATCTCTCTAATGCTGCTACTTCGTATCCTACCTTCTTCTCGTGCTTCTGCTTACGGTGTGTGCGTCTACATGTGTGTTTGTGTGCGCAACGTTGCAGCTGCTTGTATTTTCTAGTTCGGTAAAGGAGTCAAAAAGAAAAATCTGTGGAAATTCTGAACGGAGTCAAAATGTGTGTATGCACAAGCGTAAGGATCCTGATGCTTGTTGACTGCTGCGCAGTGTGGTATTTTTTGCGCGCGAATTTGCGCTCTTCTCTCAAGCCGTGCCAAAAGTCAAAGCGAAATAGCTTACGCAAGATTTTTCACGACGTTTAAATTTTTCTAAAAAGAGATTCCAGGTGAAAACTTTTGGTTCCAAAATAGTGAAAAGATTCGAATTCCTTTTCAAAAAAGCTTTTGACCTTTTTTTCTTTGAACTTTTTATACGGTGGACGCAACGCATCTGTACTTTGAGTAAATTTGACTAACTAATGATACTTTTTACTTCTCCCGATGTAACGATTATTGCTGTCAAAGTCTCAAATGCATCTCAAAAACTTACGTATGTCGAATGCAGAAAAATGAGACTTACAAATGTAGGTTCAAGCAAAATCAACGTTTAATTATTCGATATTGATATAAAATTTTATATCAACGATATCAAGTGAAATCGTAGGTTTAATTTTCTTCCTAAATTTGACGTCAACGACGACAAATTAGTTCGATAATGTGCCCAATCCAGGAGAATTCTAAAAATTTCAACTCAAAATGTAAATTCCAATTGTATTAACATAACTGCAGTACCATTAGCGAATCTTCGTTTGTAATTTCATTTTGATTTCAATATGTTCATAATTCATGTGTTCAATTGCATTTAAGATGAAAGAATATAATTACATGATTATCAAATTTTGAATTGGCGAATTTCAATGCATTAAATTTTTACACATTCCCTTTTATTTGTTCCAAACACAGATTTGATCACTTAAAAATAGAAAAAAGTGTCACTGAACTTTACAAGTTTTTTTTTACTCAGTATAGTACACTTGACAAAGACTATAGTAGAAAATACATAACTCATAAGTTTAATCCTCTTGAGCATCGAGTATTTTCTTGTCCTTTAAAAAGAAAATGATTAACTCTCCTTGGCATATTTATATTTACTCGAGCTGGAAATGCTCGAGCCGAGAACACGCGATGCAAAGTCTCCATCCCATCAGAAAGTTAACACACCTGCGCTCTTATCAGCCACAAAAAGTCTCTCTTGCGCTCAAGCACGAGCTAGGGGGGCTTGCGCGCAGGTTTTGCTCTCGGGGAGAAACTTCTCCTCGAAGACTTTTGCCTTAATTGGTTTCGATCTGAGAGTCTCTCGCGACGTTTTGTGGGATATAAATCACCCGGCACATATGCGCGCAACCTAAGCGACCAACGACCAAATGATACTAATTTGCCGAAAGACCTTGGCTCCATCACTTAGATATATGAGTATTTTGCGGATTCGCCGCTTTGTACTGTGCATATATATCTATATGCTGACCTGTTCATTTGTTTTCGTCTTTGCAGCAGTCAACTCGGCACATATATATGTATCTACCGCACTGTCTTGCTCGCACTCGAATAAGGTGCTTTTTGTCACCAAAAGCTCCGCGACTAATTTCATCTTAGTCGAAGCTTCTATATATATCTTCGCCTGCTTGTATAATATAGATTACTTTGCTCTTCGCAAAGCTCATTTATTAATCCTTTTTTGTCCGATTCTTGCGCCGTCGCCCTTGCCTCCTTTCCAGCCTCCGCGTTGATTCGCTTGTCCTGGCTTCTATGTAACGTATCATCTTGCGCTTCGCTGGATGCTCATTCATTTTTTCAATGATGAAACATGGAATTGAAAAAGTTTTGCTAGTCTTTTCTCCCCCGCAAGTTATTTTCAACTTGGTGCAAGAATGTGCGTACGTATGGTGGATACTTTGATACGAAGACTGAATATGAAGGATAAAAGGATCTATCGAGTAGAAAATTTAAGAAAAGTTTTTCCGATTGATGCCTCTTCTTTTCATACATATTTACATCGTGTGTGTTTGTGCAGTTCGCTTGATTTTTTTCCTCGTTCAGTTTTTGCGCGTTCTCTCTCTTTTTAGTAGTCAACAAGAATTTGAAAACAAAAAACTTTTTCCACTTCTTTACCGCAAAATAAATATTGATACAATATGCAAACATTCCGTGACAAATTGGACTCCATCGTTGAAGGGCATCACGGAGAACATATTGCGTACTGTATATAACTTGGAAACAAAGAGACAAAAAAGAAAAAAATTCCGTACTCTTGAAATGCGTAATTGAAGAAATCCTGGCCAACATTGATGTCATCTAGGTCGAAGAAATTTTTATCGATCCATCTTCTCATAAGTTCAAATAATAAAGATTTTCATTCTCGACATTATATCAGTAATATGGTGTTATAGAACGGATGTACAGGGCCTCGTTTGTGAGCTCTTCGAGCATATTGGCTTGCTGTGAGGTGGCAAAAGGCCGCATACAGGTCGAGTTCGGAGGCAGACGCGAAAACCTGCTGGTCGGCAATGCCTAGCAACCAGCAGCGTCTTTTGTTAAGATTGTTATTGCAGGTTGCCAAGCAGTTGGAGCGACGCAGCGAGGTCATTCTCCTGGTAACGCGCGGACGGCGCGGAGCTCAGCATCTCAGCTTTTTTGAACGAATAAATCGGCATCGCCTCAAAATAACTTCGTATTGGTTTTTATTTTCTATCACTTAAGGACTCATAAAGGCCTCATATCCGCAGCAACATATGGTTTTCGAAAATCTTTAGCTAGCTCGAGTTCAAATCAATAAAAGGACTACGGTCACTTTTGGAATGGGGGGCGTTATTCACACGATTAGCTCAATGTAACTTCGACTACAGAGAGAGAAACTACCCGAAGAAAATGAACAAAGAATCAACAAATATAGATATAAAATAAAGAGATAATTACTTAGGTCTGGCTATTCAGGGGGATTTTGTGTACGAAAATGTTTTCGTACACGAAAATTTGTTGGAAACTCATGAATTCGACAATTTACGTACAAGAAAATTTGGATTTTCCGGGATATGTTTATCGACGAAATTTTCTAGAAAATTTTCGTATACAAAAATTAATTCAAACAAAATTTTTCAAAACATTTAGTTTATGTGT